TGCGCACCCAGGGCGGCCCGCGGGGCGCGCTCGGTGGCGCTGGCGTCAGCTCCCAGCCGGTCCGCGTCTCCTTTCCTCTGCCTCAGGTTGGGGCGGGTCGGGAGGATGGCCTCGGAGTTGGAGTCGTCGCTGGAGGCGAGCTTCACGGCCAGCGGTGCGCTGTCAGGGACTTCAGTGTTTCTGCCGCCAGCGCGCTCCCGCATCTTCAAGATAATCGTGATCGGCGACTCCAATGTGGGCAAAACGTGCCTGACCTACCGCTTCTGCGCGGGCCGCTTCCCCGACCGCACCGAGGCTACTATCGGGGTGGATTTCCGAGAACGAGCAGTGGAGATTGATGGAGAGCGCATCAAGGTGAGCGGATGGGGCACTGTCAGCGAGGAAGGACGCCCGGGATGACACGTGTCCCCAGCCCACCGTGGGTTAAACGCTGGCCCTGTACAAGTTGTGTGCTCCATCTTTTCTCACGCTGATGTGGAGATTGGAGTTGGGAATTAGAAGAATTTGTATATAGCAAACTTCTAAGGCAGTGCTTCTCCATCATTAATGTCATGCGATTTATCCAGGGATCTTGTTTTGTGTTTTTATTTTTCTAAAGGCGGATTCCGAATTGGTAAGGTCGCAGGTGATGCCGATGCAGCTTGTCCGTGGGCCACACTTTGAGTACCAAGTGTGTAGGGGCCTCCACTGACTCATTGGCAGTGTCTCATGTGCTGGGAGTCAGTGGAGTGAGACCAAAGGAAAAACAGCGAAATTTCTCAAGCATGGAAAATATCTTTAATAACTATTATTTATGAAACAGCCATCTGAGCACTCACTGCCCTAGGTGTTGTGGCAGTACAGCCTGCTTGCCGTTGAGGAAGTACTTAGGTATTCTTTTGCATCCAGTTTTGCTCCCGCAGTTTCTGTATGACGCTGGGTTGTTTAGAAAAGTCTTTTCTAGCACAGACGTTCTATACATAATAGTTCCTGCTTGGGTTGCCAGAAGGGCATTCTTGGCTCCATTGTCTCTCCCAGTTCTTTAGTTATTGCCGGCTCCAGAGACTAGTAAGCCCAAGGCCAAGACGAGTTCTGAGGAGTTGGAATGGGGCATAGAAGAATGAGGATCAGTGAGAGGGCCGAGTACTCCTGACGGTTTAAACCTTAGACACACTTCTTCATTTCAAGTAACCACTAACTCCTCAGCCATCTGCTGCCACAACCCCTTAAAACATGCAGACCCTAGGAACTGCTTTTCCTTTAAATTAGGACATTCATCTTTACCTCACTACTCCGTGGGGGAGAAATAGGCTCATTGCTTCATTCTTAACCTCACATCCTTGAGGCAGGAACAGTTTATTTTTCAGTTCCCTAACCACCACCCTACCCCTCACCCCACTGCAAAGGGGTTTAAATGCTATTGATGGTAAAGGAGAAATTGGGTTGAAAAGAAATCAACCTGCTCTAGGTCTTTTTGCCTTTTAATTTTCACCTTAATTTTTCATTGTCCCTTTCAGTTCTACCAGTGGTGGTCTTTTGGGTGCACTGTATTAGGGAGTTAAGAAAGATTTATATTCATTACAGAGGAAAAGATAGAATAAGAAGAGACTGAATATTTTCGTCAGCATTAAGTTAGGCCCAGACACTAGTGGGCAAGGAAAATAATGGGGCTTCTGGGGTCTGGGAGGTAGTTTAGTTTGGGAGAAGCCATTCTGGGAGAGGAGAAAGTGCATGGACATTGGAGACCAACTGACTTGGCTCAAATCTGAACCTACGAAAGGGTAAGGACGGGAGTGAGTGTCCTTAGTAGGGTGACCAGTAATGCCCGAGATTGTTCCAGTTATAAAACTGGAAGTCCCACATTCCTGAAAACCCCTCAGTCTCAGAGGAAGTAGGGTTGTTGCTCATTCTAGTCCTCAGGTGGATTTCTTCATCTTTCAGTCCGTTTTCTCTTCTGAAACATTGGGCTAATAATAGCGAATCAGGCTGGTATGAGGATTAGATGAGAACGTATATGAAGCACCAGGTTCGTCGTTGGTTCTTAAGACAGCTCTTCCCTGGTGGCTTAACATCATTATTCCTCTTTGGCACCATCAGTTCTGTGGCTGCAGAGAGAGAAGCAGCGATAAAGTAGGGCACAGGCAGACAGCTGAAAGGGAGAGAAATTCTCCCACATGGGAGCAGGATATAAAAATAATACATAGAGGAAAGAGAGAGAGGAGAGGAGTTGAAATTTAGTGGCCCTTTATCTGCTTCTTGGTTGCCATTTATACTTTTAAGATCATGCATGAATCTGATGCAAATTTAAGAGCTAGCCTTAGGAATATACTAAAAACCACTGAACTGTATATTTTTAAAGGGTAAATCTTATGTGAATTACATCTTTTTTTTATGAAAAAAAATCACTTCAAACTGTATCTTTAATATTTAAAAGATATTTGGGAATAATTTGGATGATCCATATAAAAGCTGCCCAAATAAATTAGAGCTGATCTTTTCTCTTTTAATAACATGTCCTGTAGCTCAGATATTCACAAGTCATTTCATTGAAGAATGATCTATAATGTTTTAAGCGCAAATGTATAATGTTTTAACATACATTTATAAGTTTAAAAAAAACGCACACAAAAAGGAAATATACCAAAAATAATCAGTGATTGTCTTTAAGGCAGTTTCTCTTTTATTTCTGCTTTTCTGTGTTTTCCTTAACAATCATGCATTTCTTTTATAAAAACTAAACTTCAAAAAATAATAATTATACAGAATTTGGACCTGTCTCAAAGAACTGCGGAAGTCCTCAGTAAATGTAAATGGTGGTGATGAGGCCGTTTATCCCTGACACTATTCGTTTGTTGGTTTTGTTTTGGGATGGGATGGACTCAGTCATACTCC